CTGTGAGCCCGTCCCTGCGCCTCGTCCCGCTGGGAAGGCGAACCGGCGCGGCCGCAGGGAGTCAGCAGCGCTTCTCCGTGTTGTGCGGGACGCTTGCGGTTTGTTTCCGCTTTAAAGCTGTCCTTAAGTCACCGTGCTTGCGGGGGATTCGTTGGTAAAAGTCTGAGTTACACCAAGGTACATTTTTATTAGAAAGCTGTCCTGCCAGCTAAGGTTTTGCTAGCTGTGGGTATCGTGGTAATAATCGAATTGAGGATTAAGCAGGCTCTGTTTTGTTGAGTTTTTTTAAATGCCATGAATTAAGATGAAATACTCGGGTTCACCAGCGTGCTTTCAGGCTGAATAACGAAACGTGCTTTTTTGATTTAGCCTTGCCGCAAAGACATGAATAATTTAATGATTTCAGCGGTGTTTTTTCGCTTGTGTAATGCCAGCTCTGTAAATATTTGCATAAGTGAGCTCAGTCAACATATCTGTAATTAACGCTAACATCTCCATGTTAAGTGATCCTGATTATAGGAAAAAGACCTGCTTTTCTTGTAATTACGTGTCTGCTGTAATTGTTTACATCTGTTTTCTCTGTAATATAGTTATGTGAAAATTAATTTCAACAGTGCTTTTACATAGTAGAGGAAAAAATGTTCAGTTGGAATTGGCAGATGTTTGCTGTTCTTACAGGAACCTTTTAAGCCTCGTGGTGTTTCAGAACTAGACAGCTCAAGGCCTTACCTGTAAATACAGGATTTAAGTCAGAAAATCAAACATGCCTTTATGCATTTGAGGCTTCATGATGCTGGTAGGACTTATTGGACGTTGTATGTTTGTGTAGAGGTGGTATGTAAGAACCTGATACTTACTGATTTAGGTCCTGATACTTAAAATAGAGTTTTTGTCTTAAACATACAAATAATACCATTTTCTCATTTTTTTGGGGAGTAACCTTGTTGCATACGTATTTAGCACACATGCAGAAACTTTGATAGAATCAAGAATACAGCACTTAAGGAAAATCCCCGTGTGTTAGTTTCTGGAAAGAATTACTTTCCCTCACCTGGAAAATAAAGTTTTACAAAACACACATGCTGTGGCAGGTGGGATTTATATTTTCCAGTAACGCATGCTTTTGTGCAACTGTAGTTAAGAGTATTAGTAGTTTTGTGGTGGAGTTTAGTCTGTATTTTTTTTTTTAAATTCATTCTAACTCTACATTTTGAGTGTTTGACTGGTTATTTTTCATGTTATGCGTGTGTAAATGCACCATGAAAGCTGTCAATCTATTTTTAAAGTATAAAAAATAGGTCCGATTTTTCAGTTTAATTGCATCACCTGGATATTTCTTCATTAAAAAAAAAAAAACAAACAAAATGAAACCAGCACAAAAGCCCCAGTAACAGTTGCTCGCGTTGCTAGTTGAGATTCTGCCATTGGGCCTCAGAGTTAATCCTCGTGGTGAGGAGCTGTTAGCTCCTGGAGCCCTGTTGCTGAGGCTGTTGGCATGCTCAGGGGGATGGCGTTGCATCACCTTCTGTTTACTGTGAGGCTGAATTGGTTTCTGATGGAATTACCTTCAGCACCTGGGAGTTAACGTTGACAGCACAACTCCGTGGCCTGAAGCAGATTTTTCTGGTGTATTCCAAGACCACGGAATTCATAAAACTTGTATGGCTTATTGGCATTTGGACCACCACGCTGGTCTGTTTGCAGTAACTCTTGTTTGTAAACACATGAACCACGGAGTTTGCAAATCCAAGTCACACCGGCTGCCCTCACGGAGGTTGTGCACATGTGAAGTGTGATTTGAGAGCAGAAGAAAGAAGCCAAAATGACCGTCCCTACCTGTTTTGGTGCACATATCTGCTGGCGTAGTTCAGAGCTGGTGGTGTGTCTCCTTTGCTGGTGAAGAAATGCATGTAAGCACACGTGTACGCGTGGTTCTAGGTGCCAGCTGCAAGCTGCATCGGGAGTGAAGCAGTCTTGTGTCTCCCTCGGGTCTTTTCAGCAGTGGGAATGTCGGCTGGCTGACGTTTGTGCTGGCCTTCAGTGCAGAGGTCTGGGATACCAGTGTTCATTAACACTGGTTCTAGGTATTCCTGCTAATCAGTCTTGTGGTTGGATTGTGGCACGCACGGGAACAATGACATGCATGGCAATAGTCACGGAAACAGTCCTCATCCATACCTTGGTTTAGTTTGTGGCGTTTCAGCTATTTAAACTTTTCAGAGTCTTTTCCTCACACGAGAAGGCCTTTCAGTAAGTGCTTTCGAGGCTTTGCCTTTACTTAGAATACTATTGCTAGTAAAATATAAAAGTAGTAATAAAATACTTTCAAAACCTGATTTTACAGAAACACAGTTGATCATAATTAAAATTGTAATTTAATTATCGAGTGAGGATTTCTCTTGTGATCCGCAGAGCTGTACTTTAAGTGAAATACTAAACTAATATTTTTGCTAGCGGTATGTAATGCTTACTTTGTTTTTGTCTTCTCAGGTGCTCTGTAACAGAGCAAGACTGGTCACCTACCTACCAGGGTTTTATTCCTTAGTCAAAAGAGTTGTAAATCCCAAGGCTTTTTCTACAGCAGGTTCCTCTGGCTCAGATGAGCCTCATGTTGCTGCTACACCTCCTGATTTATGTAAGAAAAAGCAAATTCATTTTCTTTGAATTCGTGTGCTATCAAAGCTTTGCACCCCCTATAAATTTGGGGGTTCTGAAGTGTGCTTATGGCAGGGCCCCAACTCTTCTGTGTGCATTGTGGTTACTTTGGTTGTATGTGATTGTGGTCACATACAGAAATTTGTATGGGGGAAGGCTTTTTCTTCTTTTTTTTTTTTTTTCTTTCTCTTTAGATGTGATGACTAAAGCAAGGCCTTGATTTTTGCAGGTCCAAGAACCGTATGGCCAGATGAAGTAATGGGTCCATTTGGTCCTCAGGACCAGAGATTCCAGTTGCCTGGTAATATTGGTTTTGACTGTCACCTAAATGGCACCGCTTCTCAGAAGAAAAGTGAAGTTTCAAAAAACCTCCCTGATATATTAGCAGAGCCTTCAGCGAGTGAAAGGCATGAATTTGTAATGGCACAGTACATAAACGAATTTCAGGTAAGACAGGGATTTTTCTATGTGAAATGGATAGTTAAGAAAACATAACTAATCTCTCTTCCTCCCCAAAAAAACTTATTGGTGATTTTCTCTGGATGGTTTTGAAAGATGAACTTCAGCTGGGGTAGGCAAGAGACTACATAAAACCTAGCTGAAGTTTTTTCTTTTAGGAGAAAGAAATATTTCAGGGTGTGGTTTGTTGTGGTTTGTTTTTTTTTTTTTGACTAAGCAGCACTTAGTGGAATAGCATTTTAGTAGTGACTTAATTTTACGGATATGGGAAAAGAAAACTTCAGTTTCAAAACTTACTGTTTACTGAGTCCCACCACCTGTTACCAAATGGTAGTTTCTTCAGTATTTCATTTAATGGATCTGGACTTAGGTAGTTTGGACAGTGTTTAGATGCAACTGCTTAGTTCTGACAAGCGTTGAGTTCACACAGGAGAAGCAGATGAATGTCCCTGAGCCTCAGGGACTGCGCTTTGCTGATGGCAGAGCTTGCAGCGAGTCAGATGAGTTACTGACAATAGGCCACTCGGCAATTGCCGGCGTGATCACAGCATTTCCACAACTGTTAGGTGCTGCTGGCTCAGCTTTCCAGGCTCTCGGCGTTTGTGACGTGCCCAGACTTTGGAAGTCAACTAGCAAACCTCCATTGTAAAAATGCCGTATGGTGGGTTTTTGTAAATGTAGGGTTCTATTCCAAAGTGTTCAGAAAACATAAGCTTCTGGTGAGCTCCCCAGATTCTGTTTTCAGCTTGTGTGCATCATAGTTTGTGCTGAAAGCCCAACAGAAAATTCTAGTCTTTGGTTTTAGTGCCAGCCAGGTGCACTGAATGCATGTCTGCTTTCTAGTGAGGTTACTGGTGTAAGAAAATGCCCAGTGCAACTGTTGCTGTCCGAAATGGGGATGGAGAAACTGGAAAGAGCAGAGGCAGGTTTTGCAACTGCGATTCAGGAAGCGGTCAACAAGAGTCAGCTCCGCTTCCTACCGGTGGTGTTTAGGTCAGCAGCAGCATTTAGCTAACAAAAATGCTGAACTACTCACCTTAGGAGAGGACCCGATGGGATCAGCTGAATACAGGAACCTCCCGTAGGCTGCTGCAGCCAGCAGGGGAGAAGCTCAGCGCTGCTGAAGCTCCTGCAGCAGCCCTTGAACCAGGCAGAGAAACATCAAGGCTGCTCTGAGCTCTCTGTGTACCCGAGGTTGATGTATTGGTTTTATCTGAGCGGAGTAAATGGCCCTGCCAGCCTATCGAGGTCAGCCAGTGGTGTGGATCTTTGGGAAGTGGCCATAGTCTGTGGATGGTCGCGTGCCCAGCGAGCGTACGGACCATGCAAGCGGTGTTCAGGCAGGTAGAGTGGGAGTAGTGTGCAAGAAATCACGATGAACTGCCACTCTTGGGAAGGGAAGCATCCTGGAGTTAGGGAGAAAAGAAGGGGTTTACCAGCATAATGGCGTGGCTCGTGGACTTAAGGTACCAACCGATCTGTGCCGGGGACTTTGCTATCGCGATGCAAGGTACCTGTGGGAACTGCAGGGACTGTCTGTTGGTGTGTTTGTTTTCTGATGGTTTGGTTCTGGGTTTTTCCCTGGTGATGGGTAAGTTCTAGAACAAAAACACCAGGCGCGCTGTTTTAGGTAATAGTTTTCTCTAGGGAGAACTTTGAGGTGCAGACGGGTGTTAGGTAGGACTTAGTGTACTACTCAACGTTGTAATAGCAGCCTTAGAGAAACTTGCTGAAATTCCTTGTAAACTATGGTGTAGTTAGAGCTAGAAAACCTGTATTAAGGCATTCTATGCCTGTTGCATAACAATTGCTATCCTAAAGGAGGCAGCTGTTTGTCACTACCTTCTCGAGGGTATGTTATCTGTCCTAACTTACAGGTGCTTCGTTTGTAATGTACCCACAAGAATTTGTTTGGGTTTTTAGTCGTGAGTTTTTTATTTAGAAATTATGGAACTAAAAAAACCTGTGAAGATTAAAAATGGTATCGTTGAAAACTGTTCTGCTTTTCAAGCTACCACAGCTATAGCTGAAAATACTGATAGTTCAGTGCTCTAGAACTTTACCTGAACCAGAATAAAACTTTATTTTAATGTGTGTATATGTGAAATCTGTTGCTGTTGTATTGAATCCTTAAGGCCGTTGTTTCAGAAGGATTTAAAAAAAAATGTCTGTATTGGTTAAGGCTTTGAGAGAATACAGTTTCAGTAAGACATAAACCTTGAAATTTCTACATAGGTTTAATAGGTGATACCTACATCTGTTCCACTTTTCTAATATTTGAAAAATTTTAAGTCTCATTGCAAATGATCTTTCTGCGAAACGGCTTGAGTGTGTCAGTGGACATTTAATCACAAGAACATAGTCTGGTGTACAACGTTATTCCTGTTACGTATTAACGCACGAGAAAGTTACAGTTTTCTTTTTTCTTTTTTTTCCTCAGGGTGCTGACGTTCCACAGAAACAGCAGATCAATAACGCTGAAACTTACTTTGAAAACGCCAAGGTAGAATGTGCAGTACAAGCTTGTCCTGAACTGTTACGAAAAGGTATATTTTCACTTTCATTGACAGCTAAGAAATTATAGCTTTTAAAACATAAACATATGTAAGTAAACGCTCTGATACCACAGAATGTGTGGAAGACGAGGGTAATCCAGAGTTAATGTTTTACGAAAGAAAAATGCACACTATAAAATGAAAACTGAAACTTTGCTGTTGACAATACTCAGTATTTCATATAAAATTCAATGCTGCTTAAATTCAAGATCAGCTGGGGCGGGGAGTAGCTTTCAGCTGCTTCTCCAGTGTCAGGTAGATTCTGGAGCTAATTCACTCTCCTAAAACCAGTTTGTGGTCAAAGCAAATCTTTTGGCACTGCTTCTCAGTAAAACAGCAAATTGAAATTATGAAACTTCTGAAAGCATTGGTGTTGTGTCTGTCTATAATTTGTTCAAGAAGGAAATGATTGAAATTAAATTGGAATAAAACCTTCTAATTTTAAAAGTGATATACTGAAAGAGAGAAGTGACTGAAACCTAGCTGGAATCTTGGTCTAGCTGCTGAAGCCAGCAGACTTTTCAGAGACTAGGAAAGGTTGAACCTTTGGACTTTCCGTTCTGGAAGGTGCTTTTTTTTCCCTCCCCCACTGAAAACAAGGCTCCATGAAGCCTAATCGTGGCTTTGCTGCTTCGCGTGTGTTCCTGCTTGTGGTCCAACAGCTGATGTAGAGAAAGAACCATGATGGATTTGGACCTGTTGTGCTCTGGGGGAAGAACTGTCACAGCTCGTGTCGATAGTGCGCTACTGATACGGAATCTCCTGAAAGACTGAATGTAGGAATTTGGTGTGTAACGTGGCTTAGCCAGTTCTCATGTTTGTAGGGAGCTGTGGTGGTGTTCGGTTCAAAATACTAAAATATTACTATTGGGTTTGCATCTCTGCGAAGAAAACCGTTTGTTTGCACATTCTGAAGTGTAGTAGTGGGGCTTTTATCATCTTTCAATTAAACAGGAGGTCTTGAACTAGCAAACTCCACTCCCTGAGTTGCTTGTGACAGGACTTCACTGAGGTGCGTTGGTTTCCACATAAGCAACGTCAGCATTTCAGACCAGCATGCTCTCTGCTGGATCTGAACACACACATATCTTGGATTTAAATGAAAGGAAGGCTTAAAGTAGGGCCAGTAATTTGTCTAGAATTGAAAAATTGTGAGTAAAATGTGAGAGCAAGCCATAACATGCTGGTTTCACCTTTTTTTTTTTTAGACTTCGAGTCAATGTTTCCAGAGGTGAGTGCCAGCCGTTTAACAGTACTGACTGTCACCCAGAAGACTAAAAATGATATGACTGCGTGGAGTCAAGAAGTGGAGGATGAGAGAGAAATGCTGTTAGAAAATGTAAGTAGCTGAGGTTAGCATGGGCTTAGTTTTGTTTGTAGGTGAATCTGTTGTGAATCATGCGTTTTGGTCAATTTCTGGTTCTGGTAGTAATTACTGTATTACTTTTTAGAGCTTTTTTGAGCTAATCCTATGTTCTCTTACTGATAAAATGGAGGTAAGTTTTTCCAGTATTGTAGCTTTTTGACTGCTCTACATGAAATGTCTTTCAGAACTATTCAATTCTGTATCGTGGGGTGAGTCAAAAGTGTGCTGAAATGTTTTATTAATTTACTGTAGCATTTTACAAGATCCTTGGTTGTTTTCCTGTTGCAGTTAAAGGGCAGCAACTATTTTTCTCACCTTATTTCAGCCTTGGTACAACGCATTTTGTACGATTTCACTGCCCTCTCTGTTCTTCTGTGACCCAATTGAGATTCCAGTACAGAGTCTGTCGATGAGAGCGTTCTTACACATAAAAAAAGTGGTTACTCTGGGGTTTTTTTTTCCTATTCTGATAATGGGTGTCGTTAATGCTTTCAGCCTGGGCATCAGTTATATTTATTACATCTTAACCTCATGAACTTTGTCGTCTTGTTCTGTTGCCACTAGAGGTCTCCCTGAAAATCGCTTTTATTTCACGTTCTTCAGACTTTTTGGTGTGTACTCCAGCAGGTGTCGGTGTTCACCACCGCTGTAGTTCTTTTCTTAGCCCCTCAAACCACACCTTTTCTATGTATTATTAGTTATAATTTTTCTAAAACTAGTAAAATTCATCCTGTGGGGTTTTCATCTGTACAGTGAGGGTGATATTTATGTTTGAAAATAGCCTGGTAATGTCCTCTTCAGTCCTGTAAATTGCAAACATGGCCTGTATAAAGCCGTGTAAGGGTGACCACAAAACAGGAAGAAGCAGTCTGACGGATCAACATAAAGATTACACACAAATTAAAATTCCCTTCATTTTAGTGTGTTCTTCTCTTTGAATTATTTATGGTCTGTTGGTCTTTGGCATTGTAATCTGGTCTAATTATATGTTAATTGGCATCTTTCTTCCTTGTGCACCTCCCTGTCAAGTCTAATATAGTCAGTGTAGGGGTGTTAGGATGTTGGATGTAACCTCCCAGCCGAAAGGTTACTAACAGCAAATTCACAAGAAAATGGTCTGTTTGTTTGCTTCATAGGTGGTTAGAAGTAGCCTTAAAAGTACTGATTTCACGTGAGAGACTTGTACTAAGGTAATGAGGCTCTGTACCCCCAAATCTAAATGTTTACAGTAGTGAACCTCAAGTGTTCATGACCTTGCTCTGCGTGATTGCTGAGGGGTTCTTGCAGCACTGGGTTGAAAGATGTACTGTATCAGAAATGTAGTGCCTAAAATGCTGTCTTTGGATGGATATTTGTGACTTATATTTGTGACTTGATCTGCAGTGGAAACGTAGTTAATATCAGAGCCATCCAACCTCAAAATACAGAACAGCTTACTGTAACGGATAAACTTCCCTAATTTTGGACCATTACAGGCCTGAAGCTGAGTAACTAGAATAATATTTCTATGGGTTTGAAACCTTGAGCTGCTAAGGGCACTAATTACAGAGAACAACCCAATTTTTGTAACTGAAAGTAAATAAAGTATTATATTTATTCTGAAGTTAGAAATATTTTTTTTCATGGGATTAGGGAATTTCTTTCACGTTTTGAGGAAGCTTTGTGAATTCTATTTGTGATTTGCTCTAGCTCAGCGTATCCAGCTGTTTAGATCCTTTAAGCTCTTCCAAGAGGGGAAGGTTTTGGTGATGTGGTACAGAACAGGGAACTTCTTGGCATGTCGCTTGATTGAAAATATACAATTTTCAGGAACGTCAGCTGGTGTCCTCCAGTGTAATTGAAACACGACCTACAACTTTGACAATCAAATAGTGGGAGAGTTTAAAATCATCATTCATCCTGACCCCCAATTAATTACAAAAAGAGAAATGGTGTAGATTTGTGTAAAAGTCAAGTGCTTATGGAACTGTTTGCTGTCATGATGCGAAACTAAAACGTTCTTTAAAATCACTTGTGGTTAAACACTTGTAGTGCAGGAAGAAGTACATGATGCTGTCCTGTTGGCTGAGATAAGACCTTACAGCAAAAGTGTTTTTCTTGTATTTATAAAAATATATTGAATGCTACATTTAGTGTCAAATTTGTGGAGTTTAGGTGAGATCTGTAAACTCATGGGAATAACACAGAAATACCTGAAGTAATGGTTGACTTCTTAAAGAGGAGAACAGGTATGATTGCAATCTGCATGAATAATCAAAGCAATTGCATTATTCCTTGTACAAGCTGTTAATCCATTACTGACCGGCACAAGGAACATTTTTAAATCTCATATGATTAGAGTAGCCTAATGTATGCCCTTAATTCTAATCCTCTTAATATTATTAATATTTTTATTGAAAGTGTGCTGAATTTCTCATTTATTAGTAGAGGCCAAAAGAAATCTGTGCTTGTCCGTTTTCAGGATGTTTTATACGTGTTCTGATGTGTGTGTATGTATGTAACAAAACTCGCATTCAGTATTCTTCCTTCCTTTTATTTTCTTCAAGTTCATTAATGGTGCCAAGGAAATCTGCTATGCAATTTGTTCTGAAGGCTATTGGGCTGACTTCATCGATCCATCCTCAGGACTGGCAGTAAGTTCTGGGCTGGGTGGAAGGCGCAGCACGCACCGCTATGCCCTCACTAGCAGTGGTTTTTGTGTTCCCTATGGGTCAAACCCAACTTTTTCATAGGGCCCAAAAGCTGTTATCGTAGGATAATTCCTTTCATAAATTCCTGAGCCAGTTCCTGTCCTGTGTCAGCTGTAGTTGCCCTTGGCACTTCGGAGAAGGTTGTTCCTCCATGAAGGTGGATTTTAGATAACTGTGGAAGTTTTATGCCCAAAAGCTCTTGGTCACTGGGAGGGAATAACTAGCCCATTGCACAGGGTCCTGACACCTCTTTGTGTAGATGGAGGGGATTAAAAAGTCTCCTTGCACTAGTTAGAAATACCTTTGTTATGTAGAACAAATGAGTAGCTTGTTCCTGTTAAACAGCGTTGGCATTCGTTAGGAGATTACACCAGTTCTCTGGAGGAGCTGACAGTTTCTTACCAAGACATCTGTAAAACATAGTCTTAAAACTTAGAAAGGAGAATTGAGGAAGCTTCTACCAAAACATGAGCATATGTATTTTTGTCTGAGAACTGTTGAAACCATATCATGGTTGAACATAATCATGGCAAAGCTCAGTTTAGTGGCTTTTTATTTAAAAACACTAGGAAAGGCCGTGATTTATTGTGTCGACAGAGGCAAATAGGTTTAATGGGGGATAAAGTGGACAGGCGGATGAAGGTGTGCATGGTGCTTGAAAGCTACCCAGAAATTCTGTGCATTTAAAGAATAGTTATGCACTGATGCAGGTCAGGTTCATTCTTCAGGCTCCAGTTCAGCAGTGACATCCTTACTGATAACCTGTTCTTCAGGAGCAGGCTTTTGGTCAGAAGGTAAAGCAACTGAAGTACCTGTTTCCAATTCAAGCACATTTTTGCTCTTCAAAGCACCTTGCTTTACAGGGGGCTCCTGGAGAAGGTACATGTCTTATTTTTGCTATTTCATGGAAGGGTTCTGTCCTTAATGCCTGTACAAGTAGAAGAACCTTTCCGAAGCGCTCGAGGGTTGTTTTGTGTGTGTGATGGATTGGACGTGCAAGCACACTGATACGCCTCCAGAATCTTTAAATATGGGGTACCAGTATAACCAGAGGTACTCTGCTTCCTTTCCTGGGCAGATGTCGTGGATAAAACTGTGCATAAAACTTTCTCCCCCAGATGTAACTAGTACTTCTGGGCTTAGGTTTTGTTTTGAAAAGGGGGAGTTCTGATGTTTTAAACGCTCTTGGCAATGTTCACCTGAAAAAATTCTCTCTTTTTCCACCTAGTTTTTTGGACCTTACACAAACAACACTCTGTTTGAAACAGATGAACGCTACCGCCACTTGGGGTTTTCCGTCGATGATCTTGGCTGCTGCAAAGTTATTCGTCACAACATCTGGGGTACTCACGTGGTGGTAGGAAGCATCTTCACTAACGCTGAACCGGACAGCCCCATCATGAGAAAACTAAGTGGAAACTAGCAGTCCTCAGGTTTCACAAGTCCTCACGACCCTTGCGTTCTTTTACTTGATGATTCTCTCTAAACGTTGTCAGGAAATGTCACACTTTGAAGTATTCTTGGATAATAAAGTAGCTGTTATTTATTTTAGTCTTTGTGAATACATGTTCACCACATGTGACTTGGAACATGAATTGACGACGTTCAAACAGATACCTTTATGTGCCATGTGAGTTTTAAGCTGTGAGTTTCCTTCATCTTGAATGAGTTTAAACGTACATGTACATAGTTATCTGCGTATCCTTTTTTTAAAAGTGGCTTACAGGCCACACTTCTTAACCATTTTGTCTTTCAGTGTCCAACAAGTCCATGCTCTTAGCATTATAAAGCCAGGTGCCACTGAAGCTTGTATGAATTTTGCTGCTTAGTAGAATGGCAAAAAAGTGGAATAAGGAATAACATTGTTCTCCCAGAATACAGAACTTAATAAAAACTGCAGAAGTTAATGCTGGAGTAATCACTCGTTGGCTGTTCCAAAATGAGAATAATAAGAGCAGCTTTCAGTGGTCTCTGAGTGCAAGAAGTACTTCAGTAGGGAAGCGTTCACTTGACTGCTACATCCAGAGACTCAGTAAAATTATTCTAGAAACAGTCATCTCAAATGTTTTTTTTGGCTTCCCATTGCTTGCAATTTTATTTTTCTCAGTGTTAGCTAATTATATTTAACTGGTTTATGTATGTAAATGTAATATAAAGTTGCTTTTGTAACTTTTAGGTCATTAAATACATTGAGGGCCGGAATAATAGGGCGATGCTTGGGTATCATGATTGCTTTCCTGTACTTGGATGCAATTTAGACTTACCTCTGGAATTTTGGAATGCCTGTGCAAAGAGCAATTATGATCAATTACTGCAATTATGATCAATTATAAAAATATTTCAACAGGAAGGTTTCAGTAAACTACTCAGTCTCTTCAGGTATCCTAAAAACAATCGGGTCAATTGAAGTTACCGGAGGAGGAACATGAGGAAAATTCAAGGCAGCTGAAATACCCGAACCATCAGCTGCCTCCCTACAGAGAGGAGGTAACAAGCCAGATTTTAATCTCATGGCAGCCGGTTATCGGGGCCGTTTGTTAATACCCCCTGCAGTAGCTGTGCCAGTCTGTGCGACAATGGGAATCCTTCAGTCGTGACCAGAACGTCGTGCAGCTCCTGGCTGGATAACGGCCGCACAAGGCGATGATCCGAGAGGTTTGGCTTCCTTTCGGCTAGCTAGGGATTTTAATCATTGTGTATTTTTCCAGTGTTAATTAACAGTTATGGATTTAAAACTTGCTTTATATTTGCATAATACTTCTGTTCCCTACTCGGGGTCTAAGCCAGTTGCCACCAAAGTCTTTTTGTTGGCTTTAGTGGGTTTAGAACCGGATCCTTTACCAAGTGCCTGTACCTGTCCTTGTTAATGATTGCTGCAAGCCCACGACTTTGCTGGGTCACGGAGGTGGAAGTGAGGAAGACTCTCCACGGGAGAAGTGAGTGCTGCCTGCTCTAGACTCACTCGCTAAGCCAGCAGCTCAGGGTTATCCTGCTCACCCACCGTCGCTGTCATCACCGTTGGCTCTCGCCTGGGCACATCCCAAGGTGGAAGTGCTATGGCTGTTGGGGCAGGAGTTGGTTCTTGCTGTGTCGTGGACTTTGTGCCGTATTTCCAGAGCCCAAGTTCTTGACCTCTGCTTTACTATCCAAGAAAGCTGTATTACTTCAGAGTCTTCTATTGATATTTTTTTTCCTCATTCTCGTTAAGAGGATTAAAAAAGCTTGAGAAGCTACAACGTGTCTTGTCTGTTTGCAAAATACAGCTGTTTTCCAGAACACATTCGCTCATTTGATGAAAGAGGGTTGGTCTCTCTCTCTGGATGGTAGACTACCGTGTTGTGGGTTCTGTGAAGTTGTTCACTTACATTTTGACTATCCTGAAGACTCTTGATGCTCTCTGTTCTTCAGGTGGCTTTGCTGTACTTGTGGGAGCTGTCAGGCAGCTATTCAAATTAAGCTTGGGATGCTAGTTTTTGAGTTTGTGTTCCGTAAAGGGCCTTTACAGTGGCTTTTCAAATGGCTTCAAGCCGAGGCAAAAATCTCCCTGGAGAGCGTGGGAGTTCCAGGGCAGAATTTGAGGGGCAGTATGATTTCCTGGTGCTTTTCTAAACAAAATTTTCTCAAAAGAGGCTAGAACAGTTCCCTCGCCTCAGAAGAGCGATGCTGTGCATTAGTTCACTTGCTACTGTGAAATAAAAGTTCTTGAGTACAGTGTGATTGACTGTACTTCTGATAATAAGAACCAAAACTTCCAGCGTTAGGAAATTCATTCCTTCCTAGAGTAAAGAGACAAACACGTGAGAAGAGCTGTTGTAGTGAGGTCACGTCTCTTTCCTTAGCAGAGCTGACCGCTCTGGGGGAAGTACTGGTTTTCTGAATCCAGAGAGGCTATTTCTAAAAGTCATTATTACCAAATATACCAGAATTTATTATTTTTGTGACAAACTCCGCAAAAACTGTATTTAAAGTGGTGGTGCTGGGCAGCCCTGTCTGAAGGACCTTTGCAAGCACATCAGTGTACGTGGAGAACGTACTTCGGGTGATGCAAGTCTAGAAGTTAGTTGTAGTCAAAAGGCTAAAGAAATGTCTCATTGTTTCAGTGCCCTAAGATGGGAGATAAAAGTCTTTCCACAGAATTCCTAGTGAAGGTGAGGAGAAAAATTCCAGAGTTGCCTTTTCCTCAATTAAAATACCTTAGTACTAATCTTACACAAGCTGTTACCCTGGTGAAGTTCCACACTGACATAGCCTGCTGAGTAGCTGGTAGCATCACTGCTAAGTAGTGGCGAGAGGATTTTGAGTTACAAAACTTAAGTTTGAAACCAGGCTTAAAGGGATAAATACGCAGAGCGAGATACTGGGAGAAATGGGCAGCTCACGGCTGGAAAGGGGTGTTCGCCTGCCCTGTGGAAGACAAAAGCCCTTGCTGCGTGTCTGAGCTCGGTGGAATGGGATGACGTTGCTTTGTTGGTTGGATCAGTACAGGGAAATAATTACCTTGAGGTCTTTGGTGCGGTGATTGGGGTCTTTCCACCTGAAGCCTCCTAAAGCTTTTACTCAGACACTGGTGGAAATGTCGAAGTAGTGAGTATTAAGACCTTTCCATTTTCAGTAAGTGGAAAGCTTCCCTGGCGTTTGGTGTCGTGACTGTTCATGGGAAAGCTGTGCTACAGTGAGAGCTAATTGTAAGAGCCGGGCTGTTACCTAATTAACCCACGTAACAACACGAGATGGCTGTGGTGGGTAGGACCGGGTAGAGGGTTGTGTGTGGAGGAGCCTATTCCATATCTGCTCGACCACGTTGGTTCAGTTCAGTGAGTTCATTGATTTATTTATGATAAGTGAAATGTAGTAGTGAAATCACTGTACGACTTGCCTCACGCTCAATCCTTCTAAAGCCTCTTTTTTTATGAAGTCACATCTTTTTTCACTCGTCATCCTCAAAACCATCACGCAAACTTACCTTCCCTGTGCGTACACTTACAGAGAAGAGGGAAGACAAGCCGGGTGGTCAAATGGCTCCTGTTTATGAGAGCATCAGTCGTGAAGAACCCTGTTCTCCTTCCAGCAGCAGCCACCTGGCTGGATAAAAGCTCTCAAAACGAGCCAGAGGGTCAACGCTGTCTCTTGGGGGAGAAGGCCCCTTTTCTCGGACTGACATCTTGGCTGCAGGCTTGTGCCCTTCCTTGCTAAGGGCAGTGTCGTTCACCACCAGATACTCTGGTTCGTAAACCCTCACGGCTGTAACTTTAGAGAGCTCCACGTAGCTGCCCCGGAAAGGTGAGGCCGCAGGACACGAGCTGCCTTGTCACGGTAACCTGCGTGCAGCGCGGTCTGCGAGCTTGTCTTGCTCGAAAGGCTTCTGCCCCCTCAGGCTGGACTGATTGCTGAAATCTGGATATCTAATGGAAAACCCCATGAATTTGGAAGAACCGAGCCTGCGCTGCTGCT